ATGGAAATCTGCAGGATTCTCAGGCGGTCTGCCATCCAGGCTTTGCCCATATCCCGGCCTGCTCAACTTTACAAAGGAAGCCCGTGGGACATCCTGTCCTTAAACTGGAGTAAATCTGAATATCTATTGTCTGGCCCCTGGGAACACCCGGCCCTCAAGCCGCTGAACAATTCATTAGGAGTCTTGACTGGATGGAGACAGTCTGATGCTCTCTAAAAATTGTGGACAAGCTCAAGGTAGAAGAAGAAGAGGAGGAGGAGGAGGAGGAGGAGGAGGAGGAGGAGGAGGAGATTGGATTTAAACCTCGCCCTTCACTACCCAAGGGAGTCTCAGAGCTGCTTACAATCTCCTTTCCCTTCCCCTCCCCACAACAGACACCCTGGGAGGTCGGCGGGGCTGAGAGAGCTCTGACAGAAACGGCTCTTTTTCAAGGACAGCTCTGACAGAACGATGGCTTGCCCAAGGTCATCCAGCCAGGTGCAAGTGGAGGAGTGGGGGAATCAAGCCCGGTTCTCCCAGATTAGAGTCCGCGCTCTTAACCACGACACCAAACTGGCAGCAGAGCAGGTCAGAGAGCCACATCTGGGCCTCAACCTGACTTTCAGGATTCAGGGTGTGCTTCCAGCTCTTTCTGTTTCTGCATCCAAATTGGGCGGAGGCTCCAGTGGGCTGGACATCGCGCTGACATGTTTGCCCGCACCAGTACTTAGAGCTGGCGACCTCCACATTGAACCTAGAGTTATCCCAGAATTGCCACCGGTCTCCAGACTACTGAGGCCAGTGCCCCTGGAGAACATGGCACTTTTGGAGGGTGGGCTCTATGGCGCCCCATCCCTGCTGAGCTGCCGCCCAGCTCTGTCCCCAGATCTCCAGCCCGGAGCTGGTCAGCCGGCCAGCACTAGAGTCAGTTCCAATTTGCTCACGCAGCTCCCTGACCGGCCTGTAATCCGGTTTAGCTCCTGACAGGTTCTAATTCCTCTTAGAGGTTTTTGGTCTCAGGGCGTGGATGAGGCTCCCACCTGGCCAGTCCTTGGCCGGTCCATCTGTCTCTTTGATACTCTCCCCCAGTTCA